TGTATCATTATTGGTTTTTGTTTTGTATTGCCCAGCCCTAATCTGAGTGTGTGTATTTCGATGTGTATTTACTCTAGATGTGTGTCATGTGCTTCCGAGTTATTTTTCTGTAGTCATATGTCAGTAATTTATATCTGTTTCAGTAAATATGCTCCCCTCAAACAGATGGGTTTCACAGCCTATGAGTGACACCATCAGTTCAGTCCCTGTCATTGGTTGTGTGACTTACCACAATTAAACCAATGTTATTGTTGAATAAAGTAGGCTACTTGACCCTTTACTTTAGTAGCATAACTTTCATGTCTGTATTGAATACATTTCGTAGCAATGTCACATTAGCTGAACCTAATGCTAGGGCTGTAACAGTACACGTGTTTGTCACGTACCATTTGGTACATCATTTTCAATTTGGTACACACAATGAAACAAATGAATACATTTATTGACACGGGCAGAACCTAGATTCACAAGTAGATATTGAACACGGAGAACATTATGCTAATTATGGCTGTGAGTTGGCTACGGCTAATGCTAATGCTTATTGCAGTCAGTCATGATCGGCGGCTTGGGAACATTTTGGTTTCCCAGTAAAGTACACCAGCACTGGAAAGAGAGTAGTTAATAAGACCAAGACTGTCAGTCAGCTGTGTTATACCAAACTCTATGTTGCTGAAAAAAAGTAAACATGCTAATTATTTGAGATGACATCATCCAAATATGTGTACAACCAGAGCAAGGCAGAAACGGCCTCAGCAAGTTAATCTCCCCGTGGCATTTAAAGCACTTTGCCAGGAAATTCAGAGCAGGTTGAAAAATAATTCTAGTCTATACAGGTGTTCATCTCTACAAATATGTGGCTATACTCAGTAGCAGAGAACACACGGTTTAGTTCACTGTGATTATCTTTTTATTTCATTTTACATAATTGTTTTTACAATGTGCAAATAAGCGTCTCAGGTTTTTTTTTTTTTAGACACGTCAATAGATGCATTGCCTTTGGATTGCAAGTGTTCGTAATGTTTCTTTGCAGTTTTAATAGGTTTATACCAAACTATGAATTTTGTGTACTGTTACACCCTTACATAATGCTCACATGATTCCTTAAACTCAGGACCACTATTTAGGATGTTTTGCACGCTACTCAGGTTGCAGTAGTTAGTGTTGTTTATTGGTACCATAAATGACCCTCAAATGCGGTATAGCAGGCTACGATTCGCCCTTGGAAACATGTGCATGTGATAAGCAAAAAGGAACAGACACACATTAGCCCATTCTTATCACATAGGCTGCCGCTCTAAATGGGGCAGTGGCATCATGATTGTGGGAGGATGCTCGTATAATGGGGGGGGGGGGGGGGGCTCATACATCTCCCGTACACCACTGCCATATGCTAAAATTGTGACATCACTCCAAACAATAGCTACATAAAACATAGCTGCATAAAGCCGTTCCCTTATGTACACATATTAATCGCCAACAAATGAGCTTTTTCAGGGGGTGCGTTTGGGGCAGATGTGAATGATATCTTGCACATTAGGTCATTACACCTTCCTGCCTGAACCCCTGCTGCATTCTCCAGACCACACACTTTCAGGACCACATGGGTTAGGTCTTCATTAAGATCAGTCTGGATACCACTAATATGTCATCAAAAACACCTCCACAGTAAAGTTTGAACCGCAGGGTGTCATTTAGAAAAGCACTTGAGCCTACAGCAAGTATCTCTCTTCACTGTGATGTGATGGCATGTGATCCATACTGACGCTGTTATGTCAGGGAATATCTGAACTATTCAGCACACCCTTCAAACCACCATCATATCCGTGACTGGGCCAGTTTATCTGAATGCTATCAATGCACACACTCCACTTATTGCCAACACTTTGGCCTCATTAGTATTTAATATGAACTGACTGGTCTCTATTTCCCAGTGGAACCCATTGTAATATAGTAAGTTTAGCTGAACAGCATTGAATAGGTCAGCAGGGAGCACAGCGGTAAAGGATGTTGATCCTTATGGTAACTCTTGACCAAGGCAAATTGACCCTTATTACATTTTTTATTACATTTGCACATTCCTTAATTATACTACTCTACATATTTCCACTAGACTGCACGCACGCACACACACAAAACATGTGTATTTATATTGTGTTGTATTGTTGTAGTCATACATTTATTTATTGTGCTTGAATTTACGTAGAGCAGCATAGAGGGCTCAAGGGAAACGGTGTTTCATGGCACTGTGTACTTGTACATGGATGTATTGACAATAAAGAGCTCTGAGTCTTCTGAGTCTTGTTGAAATATTCAGTTATAATGGATAAACTAAAATTTGAATCTTGGTAAATCACTCTGGACAAAGGTGCCTGCTTAGTAATCAGACTGTTAGAATTAGTTATTCATTAATCACTCTCAGCACAGCAGGGGTCCTTCCGTTTTGCTGCAAATCAAATCAAATAAAAAAAATTTAAAAAAACTTTATTAGTCCCCGAGGGGCAATTTGAAGCATGTAGAGCAGTGTTGCACAGACACAGAACCAGACATTAAAGAAATAGAACAAATAAAATAAAAATTAAAAAATCAGAATAGAATAAAATAAAAAAAATTAATAAATAAAGTAATATAAAGCAGAAAGAGCAGGTAACACATAGATATACTTGGGTGTGTTCTTCTTCCTGCCCAATAGGGGGAGCCGTCTAAGTAAAGCATTCATGTGTGCTCTGCTCCAGGACTAGAGACCCCACGGTGTAGGGGCTCAGCAGCCGAGTCTGTCAGTTATAAAACATCCCGATAGTCTGTGTTTATCTGCCATGGTCCCATGTTTTGTGGCTGTGTGTGTTGCTGGGTGTGCGTCTGGCTGAGCACACACCAAATGTGGTACTACAGAAGATAAACACTGAGTATCAATCACTTGACAAGAAGGATCAGAATTCAATTAACCCATCAGTTTTCCATTTAAATAAAATATATAATGTATAACCACATATAGCTTGAACACATCAGATCCTCAGCGGAGAATGACGCTTCCCTATGGGAGGCCGGCGGACCGGCCCGGTCACATTTGACGTATGGTTTACCTGGGCATAGTTGGAAAACAATGAACCTCAGAGAGAATGAAAGACAGAATCAATGGGGCTCTGCCAGCGAGTTGCACTGGCGCTGGGCACTGCTGACACTCAGTACATCAACCATGCCTCCAGTCAGAGGGACAGACTGAGTTTCAAGCTTCGCCCTGTTCTATCATCTCTTGCTAGTGGCCAACGGAGCAACTAATGTCCCATACACCAGCTAGCCATTCTCTGCCCTATTATTCCTGCCATGGCACTCTGGGGGGTGGGGGCAGTGGTCGGGGTGACTCAGCCCAGACAGATTTCAACAACCCTCTGATCGACACCATATTTCTCTGTAACTTTTAGTAAAAGACACCCCACCCCCACCATAACACTGGCAAGGAACAGAATGGCATTATGGGTGGGGTCTGAACCAGAGGATTTACTGTGGAGTGAATTGAAGTGGGTGTTGGGATGTACAACCCCAGCCGAAATGTACCCCTAACCTGCCACCCAGTACCACCCAGTACCATTTGCCCATGAAATCAAAGAGAAATAGAAAGAGATCCAGTATAACAGGGGCAGTAAATCACACATCACATGACAACATCACAGAGTGGCAGCCCGCCCCATTAACTGTTTGTTGTTTGTTTTATTTCATTAGCATAATCCCAGGATTCAAACCATATTAGCAATGAGCCTTCATACTAATTACACTCAAAGTAAACTTCAGCTTCTCAAGACAGCTCCAGAACCTTCTGGAAGCCCACTGTGCATGTAGCTCAGCGTTTACTGGAGCCTGCTGCCCTATTAAGTAGAACAATTACTTTGAATATGCTTTAATAAGCTACTGCCTAGTGTATATAACTCTTATAAATAATTACACAAAGCATGAATGATGTTTCTCCCATTTGGTTAATTAGATTCATTGGTGAGAGTGAAATTAGGCCATACAGTGGCTCTCTGTGAACAGGGGAGGGGACTACGAGAGTGTAAATAATGACTGGATGGACATCTCTGCTAGAGGCGTCATCGGTGTACAGCCTTCTAAAGGACAAGACCTTTGCGTGTGTATGTGTGTGTGTGTGTGTGTGTGTGTGTGTGGGTGTGTGTGTGTGGGTGTGTGGGTGGGTGGGTGGGTGTTTGTGAGAGAGAGAGGGGGCCCCTCCATCCCACCTCCGAAGATGCATTGGCTTCCGCCCATTATACTCCAAAGGAAGCAGGACATTCTTGCTCCGGGAAAAGAATGCATATTGAAAGCCATTCCCTTGCCCTCCTGTCATGCCCTCTTCTCCCCACTAGGTGGATTAAGCTCTCAGGAGCTGTCAAGACACTGGAGGGTTTACCTGTTTGCACCTTAGGTTAGTGAGGACAAAATCGCTAAATGCTAAATTCTGTAGTTCTCACACCCCCCAGACATCCAGGAAGCAGCCTGGGAGCTAAAGGCGGGTCCAGCTAAGGCCTGCACTGCACTGGAGATTCATCACTGCACAAGGGCTGCCTCACCACCATTAATGTGCTGACGGTTTCATGTAGGCTTCTCCTCGCCTTTGAGCTGGCGGTGTACTGTAAGGTTCTCTCTCATTAAAGGCATCTATGTGCAGCTAAAACATCTGTGTAACTAATCACCAATCAGGGCGTCTCTGTGGGCATGTTGTCCTGGCTTTGTCCAGACACACAGATTTCCTCCAATCCGGTGATCAGAACTGCCCTTAATGTGTGTCTGCACTGCACTGCACTGTGAATGACTACAGCCCCATGTGTATAAGTGATTATTACAAATAACAATAATTAACACATCCAGTTTCAGTAATACTAGTAATAACTTCTACTGGTACAGTGATCTGACCAGTATGTGGTCTCAGTTACACTAGGTTTAACCTTCTTATGAATGTTTGTTTTTCACAAAGACAGGAGAAATAAATGATCATTGGGGGGGGGGCTTACCTTGGGCCACTTGGGGTTCAGTTGTCTGGCTTTGACAGCGTCCTCCAGCGCTGCCTTGTACTGGCCCAGCTTGAGCAGAGCGGCTGAGCGGTTGCTGTAGAGGATGCAGTTCTGGGGGTCAGCCAGCAGGGCGGCGGCGTAGAGCTGCACAGCCAAGGCAAAGTCGCCCCGCTGACAGGCCTCGTTACTCTGCCGCACCTTCTCCATGAAGTCCGCCTTGCTGAGGCCCCGTCCATCACCTGGCACCCGTGGCCCCAGCACGGAAAACTGAGGAGTAAGCAGGGGGAAATGTGTTCAGACCCTGGGGAGTCGTGTTCAGAGCCGGGGGATACGTGTTCAGGGCAGGGGATACGTGTTCAGACCCTGGGGAGTCCTGTTCAGAGCCGGGGGAAACGTGTTCAGGGCAGGGGATACGTGTTCAGACCCTGGGGAGTCGTGTTCAGAGCCGGGGGATATGTGTTCAGGGCAGGTGATACGTGTTCAGACCCTGGGGAGTCCTGTTCAGGGCAGGGGGATACGTGTTCAGGGCAGGGGGATACGTGTTCAGACCCTGGGGAGTCCTGTTCAGAGCCGGGGGATACGTGTTCAGGGCAGGGGATACGTGTTCAGAGCCTGGCGTGTGCCACACTTTATCATCAGGGAAAAACAAGACAGGACAATGGGTGCAGCATGCAACAGGGTGACTGTCCCCATGGGAGTGAAGAGAGAGAAAAGAGGTGAAAAATAATGGGAAGGAAAAAGTTGGAGAGAGGGAGAGAGAGATGATGGTGGAGTGTCGTGTGATCCTGACAACCTGGGCTTTTGACTTATGTGAGAAGCACTAAGCCAGAGCACAATTTTAGCCAGAGCACACCTGCTTTCCGGGGTCACACTGCAAACCACCATGGACAGGCAGGGGACAGGTCACAAGCACAACAAGAGCTCACCGCAGACTCACAGAGGACACACCATGGGCAACTACGAGCTCACCACAGGCAGAGCACAGGCACACCACAGGTACACAGAGGGTAGACCACATGTACGTTACGGGCAAACCGAGGACAGACCAGAGGCAGACCACGAGCTCACCACGGGCTCACTGAGGGCAGACCACAGGCACACTGCGGGCAGAACACAGGCACACTGAGGGCAGAACACAGGCACACTGAGGGCAGAACACAGTCACACTGAGGGCAGACCACAGGCACACTGCGGGCAGAACACAGGCACACTGCGGGCAGAACACAGGCACACTGAGGGCAGAACACAGGCACACTGAGGGCAGACAACAGGCACACTGAGGGCAGACCACAGGCACACTGAGGGCAGACCACAGGCACACTGCGGGTACACCAAGGGCACACTGCGGGTACACCAAGGGCAGACCACAGGCACAGCACAAGCTCACCACGGGTTCACCGAGGGCAGACCAGGGGCACACCACAAGCTCACCAAGGGCACAAAGCAACAGCGAGACATACATGGCATTATGTGCTTTAACATTAGGTGCTTTAAGAAGGTCTGTCTTGGACAGGATAAGCCGGGATGACGTTTAACGTATGCCCCTCCTCCCAATTAAAAAGATTACCAGAACCATATTGGGGCAAAAGTTAATGCTAAACCAACCCTGTTCAGCTCTGTCTCAAGGGTACTGCAAGGGACCATCCTCACTACTACAAAGGAAGGCTCTATTTGTTTAGGTAATAACTAGATAAACTAAGGCCTTAACTAAATGCTTAGGTAAACTAAAAGCTGCACATGTTGCATCCTGCCAGGCTCAAGGTTAAAAAACACACTAAAGTCAAGCCGTTTATTATCTGTGCATGGAAGATGGGGCTTATCACTGGATTCCACTAGGGTGGAACTGGTAAGGTGGATCTGTACCCCTTATGTTTGGTAGTGGCGGGGGGGAAGGGTGGGCCAGCCACTCTGGTGTTACCTGCAGGTAGACCATGTGGGCTGATGGGGAAAAGTGGGGTCAAAGAGCAGATGTTAGTTTCTCCAGTTACACAGCTTCGCACTGCCTATGGTACCAGCCCAGCTTGCCTGGCGGCTTAGCACAGCAGTAGGGTAATTACTTCCAGAGCATGAAAAAGACGAGACGAAAAATGGAGGGAGGGGGCAGCAGAGCCAACAAGAGCAAGGAAGGGGAGAGAATCATTGGAGTGAAAGAATGGGCAGCTAACTGAGGACAGCCCCTCCCCAGGACAAAAGAAATCTTAATGTGGAATGAATGCTTATTTTCAGTGGCTTTCAATGAGCACAGGACTTAAGTCACGCATAGAACCTCGCTGCTGCCATGGGTTAGGTCCAGATGGGCTGGACTGGACCAGTGGAAGCATCCGGAATGTTCAGGTATTTCAGCTGAATCCTGCCAGTAAATCATAATTCTCTAAAACCGTCATGGTTGATCGCCAGCACATACCCACCCTCCCATCTTCCCTAAGATGCTAGTCCATCACAGGGCAGCATCAAGAAAACACTGAGCACCTTGGCACTGCCAGTGTGTCTAGGTGGCGATCAGAGGCGCCAGAGCAACATCGCAGAACAGCGCCCGATTCGCTCTCCTCCAACCTGACTCAGGAAGCCCCGCCCTTTTCACAGACGACGCATTTCAATGACACCCACAACCAAAGGGCCAACTTAACAAACATGCATTCTACTGTAATGTCATTACAACCCACGGTTTCCATGACAGCCCAAGGATATCCCGCCACAGCTGAGGTCATGCACGCGGCAGCACCCTCTGCAGCACAGGGGGTTTCCCCGTAAACAGTTTAAATGAGCACTTCTTGGTGGGAAATACACTTGCTCTTTTGCTTTACACAACATAATTGAAAGTGGGAACAATCAAATGAGTCAGCTAGCCCTATATTTCCTTGTGAGGAAACACAAACAGGGCCCACCCAGCAATGAAAGCCCTGACCCAGGCCATGCAGGAACCACACACGGAATCAGTAAGTTAGCTGGCAGGCATTACTGGCCAACAGTCATGATGTGCGTGTTTCAGTTGAAAGAGCATGAGGCCCCTCATTCTGCCACACCCACTGCCCCCACTCCCCCCACCCCGGAGTGCGCTGAGCCCCTGATCCGCATCTCGCTTGTGGCACGGTATCTCTCCTTCTTTTCTTACTGAGCCGGTCCCTGCAGTGCATTGTGGGAGCCGCCCCGCTCACTTCAAACAGCTGGCCGGGACGCTAATTCAAACAGCATGCTACCTCTGCTGATCCTCCGAGTCGCCTAGACAGGGTGCAGATGGGGGTGGGGGTGGGGGTGGCGGGGGTTCACAACCCATGCAGTTACTCTGAAGATTGCAGTCAACTTTAATTCTATGTCCATAAACACACACAGATACATAAACTACGTAAACACAGATATTATACGTACACATAATCAGTCATACAGACATCAGTGTACACATTAGGGCAGACATTAAAGGAGAGGAAGATTTGCTCATTTACAAGTACACAGGCCCCCCTCTTGTGACCTGCATCAACTGTCATTCCAAGAGAGAGAATAAAAAAAAGGTCCAGCACCTTCAGATGATGGGGAGACAGCAGATTCCCCCAAAAACACTGCATCCTATTCCAGTGATTCTCATACTGAGCCAGCAGGGGTGCAGTGATTAAGGAGCTAGAGCAATTCCAGTCATAGAAAGACCTCCACTGTTGTGCCCAGTTTAAGATAAACATTAATGTGTCCTGTAAGTGGTCAAGTAAACAAAATAGCACATACAGTAACAAAGGAAGCACAATAGTCCCTAATCTGAAAAGTTCCTGTTATTTTGAAACAGTGAACCAGTTATATTGCATTGACAATGACGGATGAAACCTTTTTTCAGTGTTTTTGCACAAAACACTCTTTTTTGTTTTCCATCTCTTCCATCATTTTTAATGAGTGAATGTTGGTGGTCGATGACTTCTGGCAACTGTCTAGCAAAATGTTTTGAAATGGAAAGAAAAAAATGCATTTAACTGATAAATTTACAGTCGGGGTCCATTTTGCACCCCATTATTAGTGAGCTTGCAGAGGAACTGCAAATGAACTGGAATACAGAACCACTGAGGAATTTGTGTCTCTCTGCACCAATCGAGGCTACTCGTTAAAACATACATGGAGGCTAGATCTATAAAAGAGGGGTCTCCCTTACAGCAGAGCCTAGTTGGACATCCTTCACATCTTCCCTACATGTCTGTTGTGCTGTCCTGGTGCCATAAACATGGGTATTCGCAGACTTCATTCTAAAGCCTGGAATTTGGGTTGCGTCATCATCTACCTTCATTTACCTATGTACTAAACCAAAGCTGTTAAAGAGGATATCATTTTAACAGGCTTTTACAAAATAGTTTTAAAAAAATGTAATAGGTGGAACTGTGACAGAATGTAGCCATTCACTTCCGAGGAAGGTCTTACAGGAGTCAGAGCAGTTTGTGCAGAAAGACAGACCCCATCTTTCACAATGTCACCTTAAATCCACCAGCTTAACATTTACAAAGATAAAGCCACAGCATACAGAGCTCACACAAGTACAGGCCTGAAGTAGCGAATAAATAATGATAAATGATTATGAGCCCCACCACACCAGTGCTCCCAGTGCATGCATGGCTCTCCGCCCAGGGCATTTACACTGCTGACCGGGGCGGTGTGAGCGGAAAATTATGCTGTAGAAATAAAGCAGACAACGTATAAACAAAATGTGTCAGATCAAATTTTTGCCTGGTGATTCTTTGTGAGGGCAATCTGAGTGTTCTGATTGGATCATTTTTGTCAGCAAAGCTTTGTAAAGTTTGTGTTAATAATAATAATAATAATAATAATAATCATGTCTCGACCACGGCATATTGCTGAGACACTGCGACCCCTTGAGGATAAAAGCAGTCAGTGATTGCGTGAGAGCGCAGTTAAACAGTCATCATATCAAAGTTAATGCAACTCCGTTTCAAGTGACTTTAGCAATTCACAGCCCCACCTTATTCATATCTCCAGAGTAATTCAGTCCCTCTGGCATATACATTGCGCATTTATATTCACGCACTCGTCGTTCTTGAAAATATATATCACCGTTTAAACGACAGCAATATTTTGCAGTTAAAGTCTCCCTCGCAAGGAAACAGAGACACACGTTTATGTTTTCATACGTTTATGTCTGTCCAAGCTGTTCTGGATTTGGGTTTTCCTATGGGCTATTGCTGTGTTATCCAGCAGGCCAGAAAAATGCACACTGTATGTTAGGAGATTTCCGTTCAAAATCCTCCTAAAATTGTGCCCGACAGATTGTCTTTTAAGCAATGGTATTTAGCTGTATTTAATTGATGCCACACAGTTAACAAAAAAAAAACAAACAGTTTCTTTACAGGCTTCATTGTTACGTTGGAGATCTAGTACAGAGATACCACTCGTTGATTCTTTTTCAGATGGTCCTAGAGGGTTGCCATTCTGTACCGAGTCACCCTGAAACTGGTCGGAAAGGGACATGGGGCACTGTGATCCGCCGCCGCGGGGAGCGCTGACACTCAGCTGCATGGGGTCTCTACAGGCCCGGGGTGAGGCAGACACACAGGGGATAGAGTTAGTTACTACAGCATATATTAGTAAACATACAATTAAATGTGCATATGAGGAAGGATATAGGAGAAGTTTATAGCTTTCTACCATAGCTGCTGATAGTGTCATAATGCAGTATAGAAGGGTTTGTGTGCTTTAAAAATAACTCACAAAGACTTCAATTTGAGGCCTCACTGGACTTACAACTGAACAACTTTAGTTTCAACATCAAGTTTAACAGAAATAATTATTTTCACATCCTATCCCTTGTAAACCTTCAGCGCCAGTCGCTGTCACCAACTGTCATGCATCACCGAGGTGTCCCTTAGATACATCACATATTACGACGGTGACGATGTGAACGTACGGTATTTACCTTACTACGCCTCACTTTACAAATACAGACTGTAGCTAATAGATAACACGTACGGCCTGGTAGACCAGCATGGCGTGCGATGGTTTATTGCACATTTCTGCGGCAGAAATACGAGACAGGACGGGCGTAAATAAGCGTAGGCCTGCAATTAAAAGAAAAACAGACGCACATATAAAGAGGTGTGCAATGGGAGTTGCCGCCCCTTTCCATAGTGCCACATTGCGACCGAGGAAAGAGTGATCGGGATTAGTTGCGATTGGGGGTTAGTAAATTAAAGAATGTCCCGATCGCTTATTCCGGGATCCTGACTGGACATCGCAACCAAGTTTCCAGCTTTTCTTCGCAGAAACAACAAAACTAACGAAAATACCACAAAGCCCTAAAGCTGTACAGCCTTTAATCCAGTTGGCAACAATGATAGTATTTTGTTATAATGCCTCAGTTAACGGAGAGCATGGTGGCGAAATAAAAAGAACGGTCTGCCCGCTGCAAAGCTTCCTGAAGTCCGCAGGAATACGGAGACCGAGACTGGGAAATCGATTGGGAAGCTGGCGACGTTTCCCCGTGATGAACCCAAAAGTTAAGACCGTACAGTTACAAAAACGGAGAACGACTATCAAACTGCATCTGTGATTACGCCGTAAATTTGGTTTTAAAACAATACATTTCAAGGCAGGGAGATGAGTTAGCGGTCTGTGATCAATTTACCTTTTCTCTTCTGCTTCCTTGCTTCTCCATCCTGTGCCTTCGTGCTTTGATTTCCAGCTACCGAAATTGGCAACTTTCATCCCATGATATTTTCCGCATGAATGAATAAAAGAAGCCTCTGCATTCCGCAAAAAACGAAAAAAGCGTCTCCAATATCTATAATTTATCCAGAAAAACGACGAGCATTGCACTTTCGGTCCATTCGAGCGTGCAAGGCGTCCTAGAGAAAGTTTTCCCAGAAAAAGTGCGCCATGTTGTCAGATCCCGTTTTTCTCGCTTTTTTCTTCTCCTCTTGTTACTATAGCGGATTTTTGTCTCCAGTTCGCTTTGACTCTGCCTGACATCAGAGAGGAATTGGGTTACAGCTCTCCCCAGCTACACTGTGTGAAAGTTTTGAGAGTAACACTAAATGAACAAATAAATAAACTAACTAATAAATAAACACAACCTTATTCGCTAAGTAAATAGTGCCGTGAAAAAAACATCCGCAACAGAAACGTAGTATTCGATTTTCGGGGAAAAAAGTCTTTTGAGATATCCCAGACTATTTTGGCTGAATTAATGAAAAATATTTTTTTCTTTATATGTCTTGTTGCTATTCTTAAATTTCCTTTGTTAATTTCCAAAAAATCTGTCATGTGCATTCAATGTATTTTAATATATATATCCCCCACATATTTATGGTAAAATATGTGAAGTATAATTATACTTTTAGAAGGAAATCCTTTTCAGCAGCTATTCTATAATAAACCGTAACGGAGAAAAACTACTGAGAAAAAAATGGCACACGTCTTTATAAACATTGCTTATTTAGCACAATCCTATTGTCTTGGAACATTTTTCCGCTTACCAAAATAATTATCGCATTACAAAAGCAATCCAAAACAGCACCAGACGTCACTATGAACAATTGAATTACGCTTATGGTCACATAGCTTTATCCATCCATTCATCAATCCATATATAACATCTATCAAACGTAGGATCTGTCATACCCCGGTCTTGTCACCAGAGGGTGGCGGTGAGCAGCATCAAATTTTTCTTGTTCCAGTTCACATGCTTACTAGTTGATTGTCTGATTAGTATAGGGACGACCTACACCTGCGCTTAGTAACGTTTCCTATTTAAGTTGCACCTGGCAAATATCTCATCGTCGGTCTTAGAGAAGCCGGCAGCCGCCAGTGTTACGTGATAGGTTGACTGGCATTGGTGGTGGGGTTTACGCTGTTAGTTAGTTAGTTTATTTATTTTTTTTTTATTACGTTTGCTGTTCGTAACTATGGTAAAGAGATGCTTGACCTCTGTCTCCCTGAATTCTTTCATAAATGGGCTACTAACCTGCAGCTGGCTTTGCAACTATGTTGGTGGAAGAGAAGGAAGCCTTGTGATGGGATGGCAGTGAGCCAGAAGCCTATCCCAGCTAGCAGAGCAAAAGCAGGGTTTCCTCACTGCATGATCAACAAACTCCCTGATGCAATAGCCTGTGAGTCAGGGGTCATTACTGGTGTCCCAGAGCTCTTCACTTACTGATCAGCAATCAGTAAAGCATCATGTTCGCTTTTCAGTGGTACCAGAGTGGTTTCCAGGAAATGGTCAGTATGGGAACTATGCTCCTTCTCCTCTTTGTGAAGCTGATCCCTATCCAGGATACAGACACTCAGCCAATGGGACCTGGATGGTGTGGCACACCCCAAGACCTATGGTATTTTTTTAATTTACCAAATGCATGGTACTTTGCATGCTGGGAAGGTCATTAAATCATTATTTTAGAGATCCCTTATTTTCTTAGAAATTAGCCTTCAGTATGACTAACTAGATTAAACTTCTGGCTTTTTTTTTTTATAATAATGAAAACCTAACTTGCAGATTACATGCATGTTTAACAGATTTGAGTAATGCCTGACCCTCAGAACTAGTGAGATCACAAATTCACATTTCATTTAATTGTTCTAAAAGAGGACTCGAACTCCAATCCTGGAGCGAGAACACCCACTGCTTGGCTTCTGATGAGCCACACCTGTTCTCAGGTAAATATCAGGAACAGCTGTGGCTCATCAGAAGCCAAGTAAGATAGAGAACATAAGAACGTTACTGGGTAGTAGCTCTCAAGGATTGGAGTTGGAGACCCCTGTGGGAACTGGGGGGTCCAGCTTAGCGACAAAACAAGTGTATCTGTACAGAAATAATACATTATGTTGAGCCATTTGAGTATTACTGTTAATCAATTTTGGCAGGAAAGACGAGAGATGACTTGGGACAGCTGGGGGGTAGGTAGTGTTGGGTTGACCCTCTGTATTTCTAAAGGTCTGCATATGGCCCTGTATGGGCGTTATGACAATAAAGCCCCCTTGACTTGGTTAGTCTCCCCCAGTTGCTATAATAGCTTCTGCATTGGGAAGACTTTTGATTAGATGTTGGAAGATTGCTGGTGGTATTTGCTGCCATTCAGTCTGGGTGTGGATGCTGGGTGATCAGGTTTCTGCAGGATGCTTCCTTTTCACAATGACCAGGAGGGGAAGAAGTCCTTGGCGGATGGTTGTACAGCTGGTGTTTGTCCCAGTGGACAATGGGGTTGTCCCTATGAGACCGAGGTGTTTGTGTGTAGCACCTATGAGCAAATCCAGAGTATGCAGCCTTCTCAAAGAAAATAGATCAGGACCAGAAATTAAGCAAACCGAAAGATCAGGTGAAGGATGTGGGTAAACCGTAAGTATGATGGCGATGACACAATGCCTCAGGAAGAGGTGACCGTAAACAAGGTAGAAATATAAATAGTAGTGACAGTAAACAAATATATTGGTTACAGGTGTGCTGATAGTCTAGCATCAGGTGATTGGGTGTGTCTGAATGGAAGCTTGCCTGGGTGCGCAGGTATGACGGCAGTATGCAGTTAATGTGGTAGTTTCTGTTTTGTAATTTCAGTTGTTAAGTGTTGTCATTAGCATTTAGGTCATAGTATGTCCATAGGTGGACATGGCAGTCAAGCTGATCCTCTAACACTGACTTGGCTGATTCTCTAACTGACCGCCTTGTATGTTCAGATGCTTGCAGGTGTTACTGTCCAGCAGATGAGATGGGTAAGGACCGGTTCTCTGGTAATCCCCGTGCTCATACCATAGTGCTTAGTGAACATCTTGTTGACAGCCACAGCTATGAGACTGTCTGTCACATCCACTGCAATTCTTATAACCCTAAAGTATCTTTAAGGGGAATTAGGCTCTGTGTAGCACTGAATGTGTTGGTTTCAGTCTGTCACTAGCCTTCCTGCTTGAGCTTCCTGTCAAATTCACAGTTTATATAACGTTCTTCTTGTCACCTGTAGGGAGCTAAACACATTCCTGCCAAAGGTAATTTTTTATTATTTTCACTTCTCCATCTCAAGATGCTGGCTGTCATGCTACACTTGTTTATGGGAACTTGTACCTTCTCATGTTCTACATTCAAGCCCACTCTATTTGTATAATTAAACTTCAATTTAGCCTGTCCTGCAGCTAAAGGTGTTTAGGGAAGGATGAATAGACATGACATCTAGAAGAGCCATATGTTATCTGAGTCCGGCCACAGGGAAGTGCCCCACATTCAGGCCCTGAGAAGCATGATTACTCTGTCAGCAATGGGGTTTGAACCAGCAACCTTCAGAATCCCACACAGAGTATTTACTGTGTACAGGTTATTCACTTATGTGAACTGTATGACAAAAGTGTGAAACAAACTTTTGTTAGTGTCGGAAAAAACATGGTTAAGGTGGTTCATTAGCTTTTCAGAAATACTTTTGGACCAATCCAACTTTGTGGGTTTAAATCCAGTCTCAGGTGCTTCAGTTTGATAGTCGTTTTGTTAAAACCGTATTTTTTTTTTCTTACTGGCTGTTTCCTGAATACAATGATGTCTATTAATTGAAGAAATGCACACCTTTCCCGGAAAGATTGGTCTGTTTGTGAGGATGACTGAAAAATCACCGAGAAGAAAAGGTCATTGACAGCGAACTTGAGTTCCCCAAAGCTTTTGGTAAATGACTCACCGTCCGTCGGCTGGTTCGGTCGGGTTGAGACCTGACGTATAGCGTCCTGTAACGCACCAGAGTTTGCTCACTGCCGCCATATCACTAACACCACGGCCGGTCCCGTTTGTAATGCCGCCGGTCAGAATTAGTTACCCTATTGTTTTGGTTAATGTACATAGAAGAGTCAAGGCGAGTTACATTTGTTCATATGGACTGCGAGCGATCACGTGCATAAACTGATCAAAACGTTTAAGTATTTATAGGGTAATTATATCCAAGTAAAATATCAAATTAACTAATATCCGTCTTTATTTTATAATTAAACGTAGGCTATAAGGATAATGGATGCATGAGTAAAAAAATAAAATCCCTTATGTTTAGGAAGCTTAGACCATAAGTTCTCACCCGTGTGTGTCTATAATATAATTAAATTTAATTAACCTTTACGATAAGTGATCACGGGGTTGAAAGCGGAGGTGTGCCGTACTGTACGAGAGAGGATTGGCTGTACAGGGCTATTCCCACTCCGTTAGCCCTAAAGTAGCTGGTATATAATGACGCGGATTTGCTGCTTTCAGGACAACGCGGGGTGATGATAGTGAAAAGCCGGTGCAGTACGGACTGAAGGACGAAAATCGGTCTGGATACAGAAGAAAAACCTGCATCTTATTTGCATAAGTCGTATGTATACTTTGGGAAAGAAAATATTTCTGAAACGATCCATCCTATTACAGCTACAAAAACTTTGTTAAATAACTATTTAAACATTAATTCTTTATACAGGGGTCTAAGTTCCTAAAGACCGCAGTAGAATTACTATGTGTTACTAATTAAAATAAACACCAGGGGGCTAAAGGCTATTTCTTAATTTACTCTAGAGCAACAGCTACACTATTTTACGTACACTGGGGGGAAAAAAAGGAAAATTCGAGGTTAAGTGCGAAAAATATGTATCTCAAGATCTATGTTGTTAAATTATAACAAAGATGAAGTACCTTCGTAAGGCAGTCAGAGCAGAAACTATTCTCAGTAATGCCGTGACATGTCGACCATAGATGATATCGATAGGCAATTATTTGTGTACTTTGTAATTTTGTGTAAAAATTCTTTACGTAAGTATGTTGTCGTGTGTGTGTGCGCATGTGTGTATATTATCTATGGAATGTTAATTGTATGTAGACGTATTAACACAACTTGTAGGCCTATAAATATTGAAATGGGTATACGGGTAGTTGCGGAAATAATATTTTCAAATCTTGGCGTAATCCAAAACAGGTAATACTGTATAGACCTATCGCAGGTCATATAATCGTATACTGGGCCAATTAGTGCATGATGAAACGATATCTCACATGGAGGTGATTGAAAACAAGGTCTTCATATAACACAACCGGTAAAACATGTTCATTAGTCACGTGTGTCACAGTAGTCTGGAAGGTGGAGTGGCCAGGCTTATGTAGTGTAGTGTTGTTGTTTTTGTCTGATCAGGTTGTCTAGCCCTTCACTAGCCATGAGCACTTCCCACCCTCTGCACATCCACTCCCCCTTGCGCGAGAGCCTTGACCTGTCCACGGTGGCGGGGACCCCCGTTTACCTGAAGATGGACTCCAGCCAGCCCTCGGGCTCCTTTAAGATCCGTGGCATTGGTCACCTCTGCAAAGCGGTGAGGGGCCTCCTCTGGGAGTCCGTCCCCCCAGAGCTGAGCTGGGGGGTTGGGGGTCTGAAGGGAATGGGAGGAACCAGTCCAGACTGGTTTGAGGTCATTGAAAAGTACTGGGCTGACAGTGACTTACAATTCTGTAAAGCATATCTTTTCCTTATATTCAGTTTTCATTCACCTAAAGTTACCAGGGCAGGATGGCTCAGTGGTTAGCATTTTAGCCTGACACCTCCTGGAAAATCAGTTACAGAAAACAGGTCAATGACTGTAAAGGTAGCCAAGCACATTTATACAGCCCAATATGAGTCGGATTACATATGACTACTCATGGTTCCTTTTGGGACTCAAACCAGCAACTTTTGGGTGGTGAGTCAACACCCTTTGCCGCTGTGCAGCCCACTGGCTGGTATGCCTGGTGTGATGTCAATCCCTTTCTTGCAGTGGGCGGAGCGAGGCTGCAAGAGAATCGTGTGCTGTTCAGGTGAGCAGGCCGCCAGGTTCCCCCCCCCCGCAGGTTCCCCCCCCCACAGGTTCCCCAGCACCTTTTCTTATTATTAGTGCCTCCCTGCCCTGGCACTTGAAACCAGTATCAGTGGCAAATATACAGCTAATGAACCACATGTTAGTGTTGTTATAAATTTTATTATTTTTTAAATCCTGGGACAGAGCCTCTGTGGCAAAGGTCAAGACATCAGGACAGATTTATAAAGGAAGGACTTGCATAGTGTCCTGAATATTTTGCCTATATTTTCTCCTTTGAAAGCATTCCTTTCAGATTGCAATGGAAATTTTCATTGCCTATGGCCAGAGGTATCTATTAGCAGGAACGACACAAATATTGGCAAAGACACGTTGATTTTAGCAGACGTCGTTGTCCAAAGCAACATGGGACACCCCCGGGCTCTGTCCTGAACGCCTGTGTCTGCTGCAGGCGGGAATGCGGGCATGGCAGCTGCCTATGCTGCCCGCCATCTGGGCATGCCTGCTACCATCGTGGTGCCCACGGTGACCCCAGACTTCATCCTACAGAAGCTGAAGGACGAAGGGGCCACTGTGAAGGCATACGGCAAGGTGAGCCTCCATCATCATCATCATCATCATCATCATCGTCGTTGTCATGGCGACATTGGCTTGCCGCCACGCTGCCCGGGTATAAAAGCCGGTATTTCCACAGATGCTGATGGACACTCTGGATTATGCCAGACAGCTCATAGCCAACAACCCCAGCTGGGTGCTCATCCCCCCCTTTGACGACCCCCTCATCTGGTGAGGTCCCGGGGCAGCATTCATGTGATCGGCAGCAGCTAGCATGGCATAGTGTAATCCCTAAATCACACAACTGTCCTCAAACCCATTCAGGCTCTGCAAAGAGAACTTTTAAGATTATATTCACTTAATTGATTCTGGGGGAAACTGTCGTGTAAACAGTACATAGAGCACAGACAAGGCGCAAAGACAGTATACATAATGCTCACAAGTAACATAGTGTAAAACAGGGGTCACCGACATGGTGCCCACGGGCACCAGGATGCCCCCAAGGACCACATGAGTTGCCCGCGGACCTGTTCTAAAAATAGCACAACTCACCAGTGAGCAGCGTAAAAAAATTAATTTTATTCTTCTTTAGTCACATTTGCATTGATATAGATTTGAAAATGACACAATATCTAAAAAAAGCATTTAAAACATGTTTATTATGCATGAAGTTTAGATAAGTTTAGGAGGGCGTTTCAAACTGGTAGCCCTTCGTATGGCTCAGTACCCGTGAAGTAGCTCTCAGTTTCAAAAAGGTTGGTGACCCCTGGTGTAAACAAATCAAAAAGTATACAGTGCACAAATGGAATATGCTGAAAAACAAAATATGGCAGAATATTAATGAAGCAGATAATTAAGAAGAATAAATAAATTGGTGGGTGGTATATTTGCACCGGATTTGTCCTATGGCAGGAAAAGATGAGCGGCATTCTGATGTGTTATGGCTGGGAGGTGGCAAATAGAAGGGCAGCAGGTAGAAAGGATCCCCAAAAGTGCTCCAGAGCGCGATGGAGTGGAATGAGCCAGTTGTTTCGATTATTTGTAAGAACAAGAATCAAGTGTTTACACAATAGTCAGCAGTCCAGTTGTTCAGCATGTTTTAAAGCTGTGATGTGAAACAAGCTCATCACTGTGGTGATGTGCATTATCGCCGCGTGTCACCAGGGAGGGCCACGCGTCATTGGTGCGGGAGCTGAAGGAGGATCTGGAGGTGAAGCCCGGCGCGGTGGTGCTCTCCGTGGGCGGCGGGGGCCTCCTGTGCGGCGTGGTGCAGGGCTTGCGAGAGGTTGGCTGGGGGGACGTCCCTGTCATTGCCATGGAGACCGCTGGCGCGCACAGCCTGAATGCCGCGCTGCGTGCAGGACAGCTGGTCACCCTGCCTGAAATGACGAGGTAGGCCAGCCGCTGGTGTGTCCGTGCCCGTCGGCCATGGAGACACTGTAACGCTGAGATGAGGGGAACATGATCAGACTGTGCGATGGGTGAAGATAGTGATGGGACCCTCCCGTACAGTATCGCCACGACACTGAGCGTGAACAGAGTGGCTGCTCAGACGCTGAAGCTGGCTACTGAGCACAGGGTCTTCTCGGAGGTGGTGACGGACCAGGAGGCCGTCAAGGCCGTGGAGCTCTTTGCAGGTGACCTCCTCGTAGACGATGTATTCACGTCCGGCCGAGACGGGGTAAACTGCCCACCCAGGGGCAGATTTCGACCAACTTCTGCATCTTTTCCTCTACAGACCACGAGAGGACCTTGGTGGAACCAGCCTGTGGTGCCGCTCTGGCGGCCGTTTACTCTAATATCATCGATCGGCTGAAGACGGAGGGCAAACTGCCCCAGGATATGGGGCCGGTGGTGGTGGTGGTCTGTGGGGGCAACATCATTGGCTTAGGGCAGCTGCAGCTGCTGAAGAAGAAGGTGGGCTTGACAAGCTAGGCTGTTAAGCCCCTCCCACTCCTCCTCCAGCACCCTTATCTGCAGCTATTGGGACAGACCAATACACCCTTCAGCCTCAGTGTCCATAAAGCAGGGGTGCCCAATCTTATCTGCAAAGGGCCGGTGTGTATGCAGGTTTTTGGGATAACCTTTAGGTCAGCTGTTCAAACCCAGGTGTGAGGACTCTTCATCCAATCAGTCCTCTAATTAGTAATCTAATTAGGGAGTTGCAGCGAAAACCCGCATACACAGCGGCCCTTTGCGGATAAGATTGGGCACCCCTGTCATAAGCCCATGGAGGTAACACTGCCAGCAGTTTCACAGGAGAATGCCAGGAGCCTCATTAGAGGCATTTAATTGTATTTCATTTTAATCTAGATGTATTAATTTACATTATATTCATTGTTATACTGAATGTAAATATTTTTATTATGTCATGTGGTGTAAGTAAAAGGGGGTACAAATCAAGAAGCAAGTCAAATTTCATTTATGAACAAATTTGTATGCCTGTATGCTGATGGGTGGTTCTCAGATTTTTTATCCCAAGGTCTGTATCAGATTTTTGTTCAATGTTAGAGGTCCAAAACAATTTTCAATAGCAAAACAGCATTTTATTAACTTTAATGAATTAACAATGACCTTTGATGTAGATGTCGATATATATATATAACAAAAATGGGAACTTTAACACTCGCTGATCATTGCAACTCTCTGTCATCGGGGGTGGGGATTGATGACGAAGTTTGGTGGTCCTACATTGTATTTTTGTGTTCAACCTTTTTACGTTAACCATTTTGATTCATAATGTAAGGCCACAGGCCCCACCAGTCTGACCTCTGACAAGCTGGCAATGTTTCACCCAGTGGCCTAAGGCAAAGATTCACCGGCTCTGACAAGACTGGACCCAAATTACCAGATCGCCACATCAAAACGGACACCTCACCCCCACAGGGTGGCCAGAACCCTGCAGCCAAATTCCAGCGACAAGGCCTGGCTGCTGCAAGACACCGATGCATCCTACACTCACTAACTCACACCAACACAGGAGCACCCATGTTTGGTCTCGTTTGAATGGTCGTTATTCAACATCATTTTAAGGGTATACGCAAGTACAAAGAACTAGGATGCTGGGAGTACGCACGCTACGCTGCTGGGAGTATGTGCGCTACGCTGCTGGGAGTTCGCACGCTACGCTGCTGCGCGGCGGGAGTAGCGGCCAGAAGTCGTACGAGGCGGAATTTCAGTGCAGAAAAAAAAATTGATGTTGCGCACAGGAAACACAATTTGGACTTGCAGTTCTCTTCGTTCGTATGTCTGAAAGTAGAGGAGCATCTGTACATTACTCCCACCCCTCCATGCACACAAACACACAATAGGTATCGATCTTCGTAGGGTCTCTTCTTTCATATGGGCATAACCCTAATCCCAACCTAAGCACAAGTAACCAAAATCATAAGTAACTAAATAATTGATGGTAATACTCCTAAACACTAATGTGTAAGACAATACAATCATTGTCACTTTTATAAGTTATTAGAAAATTCCCTGTTTATTGAGTTGACACTGTAAAACCTTTAACAAACATTCCCATTAATAACTGAATATCATATGCAATAAACAAAATACATTAAGTATTACAATGATTTAACGAACATTCAACCTCATAACAGGCATGCAACCCCTTTACATTAAGAAATGTGACGTAATTGAATGTGACGAGGCTGAATGTGATGGGGCAGAATGTGACAGGGCTGAATGTGACGGGTGAATGTGACGTGACTGAATGTGACAGGGCTGAATTTGACGTGACTGAATGTGACAGGGCAGAATGTGACAGGGCTGAATGTGACGTGACTGAATGTGACAGGGCTGAATGTGATGGGGCAGAATGTGACGTGACTGAATGTGATGGGGCAGAATGTGACAGGGTTGAATGTGACGGGGCTGAATGTGATGGGGCAGAATGNTGTGATGGGGCAGAATGTGACGTGACTGAATGTGATGGGGCAGAATGTGACAGGGTTGAATGTGACGGGGCTGAATGTGATGGGGCAGAATGTGACAGGGCTGAATGTGACGAGGCTGAATGTGAGGGGGCAGAATGTGACAGGGGTGAATGTGACGTAATTGAATGTGATGGGGCTGAATGTGATGGGATTGAATATGTTGAATATTTATAAAATTATTAATCAAGTTTTCCCCCTTATAGTGCTGAAAATCTGAGCTTGACAAAATATGTGTATAAAAATGACAAAATATTTGTCAAAAGTGAAACACAAGCTTACCACTTACAGTACTCTACCATGCTGTCAAACTTATCAGACCATTATTTTATGGGGATGGGAAAGTGGTTCCTTTACAGGGTTGAATGAAACACAAAGGCAAAGGTAATCACTTTAATTTCTCTGAAAATCCATGTCTTTGAGAAAATGTATAATCCATGAGAAATGGGTACCTTAATTCAATTTAATCAAAAAGTGCAATATTATTTAACATTGTTTACTCAAAATGAATAATGCGTGTGTTATGATGGTTAATGGAGACAGGCAAAAATCCTAATAATCCAAGGAACAACAACCATAAACTTTGAAATAAATTTTAATTTCCCTGTTCTACTGCACATAAAAAAATGCAAGATTTTGATATGTGGTAGCTGAAGCATATTTTTTATCTATGTTCTGTAAAGTCTTATCAGTAGGATGTCTTGGATATTAAAAGTACTTAAAAGGCACCAAGACTGTAGAACGACCCTAATATAACACGGCTGTTCTTACATATAGTCGCATGAGATGAGGACCATCATGCATTTCACTGGCCTTGGGAACAGACAAGGGATCAACAAGGTAGAATAAACAAGTGCTACTCTGACAAAGCTTGCCTGGAGAATGCATCACCTACCGCATGCAAGGCATGTGACTCTGTAAATTGCTCTGAATTCTCCAGCCAGTTGTGGGCGTACTGCAAATTTGAGCTGAGTCAGAGATGTTTGTCAAAGGGTGAGCAGGACAAGACGTTTTACTGCTTTTGTTGGATTGGGCAAGTTCAGAGGCTGTGCCCTTAATACCGAAACCTGATTGGTCAACAGGTCCTAAGGAAGGAAAATGATGAGGCTCCTATAAATGAGTCATACCATCTTGCTCAAACCCTCGACGTACAAAGCATTCCCCTTCACGTACAGGATTGATGCAGACACTGATTCCTGCGCAGCCAGCCCTGAAAGACTGTACTGTTCGGCTGAAGCCATTTTCAGCCAAAAACATCATCTGCAGGTATCTGGAGGAAAACCAGGAACCACACAGGGAATGTAACAAGTAAGGGCGAGAGGATGACATGGAGAGGCGATCAGTCATCTCTAGTCCGAAATCCTGGTCTCATTGTTGACTTTTCTTTTTGAAAGAAAATATGATATAATGGATAGGACAGCCAACCACAATGCTTTAAGACAGCAGAACAAAAGCACACAGATCATTTGAAATTTAGTTGGTGAACAACATTCATTTCTACTTGGCCAAAAAAAAACAACAGATGCAGCAATTACATCAAGACAACCTCTTTATTGTTACACAGGAATCTCGAAGTCGGTTTTTCCTCCTCTGTAGAACTTTATTCAGACATCCGTGTTAGATTCTGATGTGCAGAGGGTAGACAGAAAAGTTAATCCAACCATAAATAGTAATAAATATCAAGTAAATGTACAGCACACTTTACTGCAACATGTGTGTCCTTTTGTCCTCGACGCATTCTTTGCTAGAGAGAAGCTTGGTTAGCAGCGTTTATCTGTCACGGCTATCCTCACCTTTAAAAGAACTAAACAAAAAAAAAATATTGGCAAACAACCAACTCCTGTCACTCCCGAAAATGACAGCACCCCTCATAGGAGACGGCTGCCACAGCACGCACGCCAGGCAAAGACGACAGTCTCTCACTTACACAACATAACGCGTTTTCACCAAAGGAATAAGGAACATAGAATCCATCTGAGATACAATATTTAAGTGATACATTACTGGTCATTTTCAAAACTGGAAAGAAGTGAGGGAACAAAAAAAATCCAATGCAGACCATTCACATTCAGACAATTTTTATAACCTATCTGGAAGAAAATAAAAAACCCTAAGTGAAGTGAAACTGCCTTTTCCAAGGCTGTCAAAGTCAAATGTAGAATACTATTTACATTTCCTTAAAGTACATGTTTCTTTACAAAGCGGAAAACATTTGTTTTGGAGGCGGCAAAAAAAATGACCAAAATAAAAAACAATGAAAACAAAAGCCTGTTTGCTGCCTCAGGTCCTCTGCTAAAGGCAATCACTGATAGACCAGGCCCTACAGAGGTGGGGGGGCACCTGGGCTTCGCAGAATGCACAGGTCTGGCTAAGCAGCACACTATCTTCCTTTGAGGGGGATGGGGGGGGACACCACCCCCCACACTTGTGCCGCCAACAGCTAGTCAAACCGAAAACAATCACCCTCTACAGTCCGGTGCAGGGGGGCAGCTTCGCTTTGAGTAATACTTTTATACATGACGTCTTTATAGATTTGAATATATGCACCCTTTAACATAGGTAGATAAGTCGTCCTTTAACGATGCAGCTTTCTATGCAGAAATATACAGTGTCGTCCACAGTGCTGCCCGCATGCTAGGCCTGCATTGTAGATGAACAGCCAGCAGGTGGCAGGACCCCGATCTCGGCACACCTCCGAAACGGGCCGCGTCCCACAGCCAGCTTCATCCCGAGAGCACAGCGAGGCTTGGAGGAGGACCTGTCACACCTGCTGCTGTAATGATGAGGATAGTAGGAGGACAGTCATGACCCTCCCACTTCACTTGGTGGCCTTTGACCTTTCACCTCTGTACCTGTTTTTTTTCTTTTTGGCATTTTGATTAGCAGTGGCTGGAGTCCCACAAAGTGATTTCCCTCTCCTTGAGAAGGGGGTGGCATCCAGAGCCAGAACAGAAGAATAGAGAGAGAGAGAGAGAGAGAGAGAGAGAGAGAGAAAGGGGGGAGATGGCCAAGGAGATGGAGATATTTCACAAAATGCCCATAATATACTTCAGGTACGGAACGCCCCATTGTTGGGACAAACAGCAGAAACGTGTGTGAGAATGTACACCATTGACAGATCACACTCTGGAGATGCCTGAACACACGGTGTTCCCGTTAAAAAAAAAAAAAAAAGGAAAATTAAAATAAATTTAAAAAGGTCTAACACCGCTTCTCTTTCCTCAAAAAGGAGCCCTGGAGAAACCACAGGGGTGAGAGGGCAGGGAGGGGCCGCCCCTCAGCCGCTCAGGGGGTCTTCGCGGTAATGGATGGCGTAACGCAGCTTCTCCAGCATGACCTCCAGGGAGGAATACTGAGGCAGCTTCACCATGAACATGCAGGTCTCCACGCGGATGTATCGCGAGTCAGGCGAGCCTGGTGAGAAGAGAGGAAGATGGGATACGCCCAACCACACATTAATATGCTAAACCACACCCCTGACGTCAGCCAATTAAATTAAGCCTCTGGCACGAGGGGGAGGGGTTTCCTGTTGCTTAGAGGTTTGGCCACCATACCTGCTGCCCCATCAGGAGGCGCGATCTTCATGGGGTAGGGAGGCACATGGGCCGTGTCGGGACCCCCATCCCTGCAGGGGCAGGTGAATGGGATGCGCTCCTGGTTGCAGGCAAACTTGATGAACTTGCAAAGCTCCTCTTGAGTGAACATCTCCAGGGCAGTCCAGAAGAACTCTATGTGCTGGTCGGTTTCCATGAGACCCACTTGGTACATGGTGTGTGCCTGGAGAGGCATGCAGAGTTAGGGCTGAGCAAGGAGGAGCTGGTACTGGACCAATTGTCAGTAAAAGGGGGCCATCTCAGCCAATCAGAGGGGCACAACTAAACCATCATCATCATCATCTCACTGGGGCACTGCCACAGAGACAAAGGTGCATTTGCCCTTCTGATCACAGTGCAGGAGGGACAGGCGACTGCCACAGTTCATATTCATAACTCCATCCATATCCAAACAGAGCAAAAACAGTAAGGTATTTAAACATCTTGCATGATCTTGCAAAACCTTGTTTTTAATTTATTTTATTAATTTTTTTTACCAGAAATAATGTTTTATTATTAATGCACTTACATTAACACATATCAAATAGCTATATTTATTAAATGATTTTATGTGATCCAAATCATTTTCAGTACTGTTTTTGGCTTACATGTCATCTATGAGCTTCCATGATCTTTCAGGAAGCTCCAAAAACATTCCTGTTTAACTGTCACTGCTGACTCGTGAAAAAGCAGTGAATGTCACACTTGTTACCTCTCATTATAATATTACTTTGCATTACATATTGTCTATATGAAGATGGAACAAACAATATGAAGTGATGCATGACATATACCTTTACATACCGAAATTATTTAAATGATCAACATTCAAAGTTAGCAGCCCTAGCAACACTACTGAAATAATGGTGATGATTGCATTGAACAATCAGCCATTTTCTGTAGTGGCACTAATCTGCACCAGCAAGCTCAGCAAGTTTCTCTGCTTTTTCCAACTGAAAAGAAAATATGCGGCTCAGTTTTCCTTGTGCTGCACTGTATCTTAAAATGTCATATTCAAACCTGTCTTTTCTGAATTTGTATGAATCGGTAGCTTTTTGTAAGATCATCAGATCTGAATTTGTATGGACTGGTTTCTTTTTGTAAGTATGATACATTTTACTTAAGTACTTTTAAAACCAGGGCCGGGCTTCCCGAAAACGGTGACTCTTAGCATCTTATGAAGACTCTAAAGATATATCTTACGAAAGGTATTTGTTTTCCTACACATTTCCTGAACAATCTCTTAAGAGAGTGCTCAAGGGAAAGCTTATTAAGTGTGACCTTAACACACCAGAACACTTGATTGGTTGACATCGATGGCTTGAGAGTCGATCATTTCCTCCATGCAGTAACTGTTTCACTGCTGCATGAGAGAAAGTGGTGTTCTTTATAAAAATAACACTGCAGGAATCCTTCAAAATACTACATTAAAAAGGAATGTGGGGGAAGTCATAATTAAAATACAAAATTAATAAATTGAATCATCTAACCGCAAATATGATTTTTGCCAATTGGGTGCACAAACCCGCCTCCCCAGATATTAGTATCACCATTTTATTTTTATTTGTTCTATAAAACACCTGCGTATGTGTCATTGATATCGGGAGGAGCAATGGCACAATAGCCGAAAGAAAAGTTGCATTACTGTCTAAACATAAGAGAATGTCATCAACCTCATGAACTAAAGTTTTCATACGGTGACTTTGGGGCATTTAGAGAGCTGTGTGCATTCCAGGGGTGTCAGAAATAGGGCGAAAGTGTCAGCAGAACCGCCACACCCCCCCTTCCCAATTAGTAAATAAGTACATAAGTACATCATTTTTTTTCTTTATTGATGTAAATCTGTACAGCACTTTGGTCATCCTCAGTAGTTTAAAAGTGCTCTGTAAATAAACTTTGATTTGATTTGATATGATAATCAGAGCATTCCTTTTCTGTCATTATGAATCCGTGAGGCCAATTCGCTGCACATTCGGAGCACAAGGATGAAACCTAACGAAGATTGTACTCATGTATCAGACAAAATTATTTTATGATATGGATCATATGGATTTTAGTTAAGTAATATTTGGTTATGAAACTGTACCCTTAACAGTGTTATTTTGAATGAGCAGTACGAGCCAACAACACTAATAAGAGACAGCTAAGAGAGGCTCAGACCAACCTTACGAAAGAACATCTTACGGAAGATATACTTAACTAAGAACATTTCGGGAAACAAGTCTGAGTGTTAAGAGATAACTTAAGGTAGAACTTACGAACGTTGCAGCATTAAGGTTTTGGGCAAGTCGGCCCAGGTTTTTTACTTTTGCTTGAGTAGTATTTTTACTGGATGACCTAATAATAATAATCAATCCTTTATTGTCACTCATGGGGAAATTCTTTTTACGCCTCCCTCAACTTGCTCTTTGTGGAGCATGCTGTCTGCGAAGGGCAGCCACCTGTAGCGGCGCCCAGGGAGCTAGGGGTTAAGGGCCTTGCTCAAGGACCCACAGACATGCTGAGGCTGGGTTTGAACCGGTGACCTTGTGATTACAGGCACACAGGCCTAGCCCACTGAGCCACACGCTGCCCCTTCTACTTCAGTTACATTTTGATGTGGTTTCTAAAAAAAGTTTTCCACCACTGTTTAGAATACACATACATTGTGAACAGTTCCGTGTCCATTCCGCATGTGAACGCACAGCAGTCCATGTGCAGAGAAGTACCGTATGCCTCAGCCTTTAGGATCAGAACATCTCTGTACAGCGTGTATGAATATATCAAGCATGTTTGATATGTATATTAAAATGGTGGTGGGCCAGGGACAGTACCTTGAGGAACTCCAGATTGATGTAGGGCAGCCCGCATGTACGAAGCTCCACCTCCAGGGGGCTGAGCAGGGTAAGCAGCTGCAGGGGGATGATGGAGCCGAGCCCCGCCCTGACGGCCGCCATGCACTCGGCGTTCTGCAGCTCGCGCAGCCGCAGGGCCCTCACTGCACGCGCATACACTTCCTTATTCTCCCAGCTGCGCACACAGAAGCAATTTGCATATGTATAGCTGCATACATTCACTCAGGTTTCAGAAGCACCACAAAGCCACTGCTCTGCGAGCTGTACCTGACGCAGAGGCTGCGGCCCCCAGGACACAGCTCCACCTCCTCCCCAGTCATGGTGACGTAGGTGAAGGTGCAGCACGGCCGGCTGGGTGAGTCGGGACTCTCGCCCGAGTGATGCTGGGAGGAGATCTCCGCACATAGAGCCTCCAGCTCCGCCTCCTCGCTCACCTGCGGTTCAAAGATTCAGAATCAGAGCATTTGAAAGCCAAGGCGTAGCCATGTTTACTGTGGGTTAGTATGGTCTACAGAACAGGATATGATCTCTTCTGAGCGCTCTTGGGCGTCTCGTTCTCCTACGTTCTCAAACTTCTTGACGTAGTTGTAGGTGATCAGGTCTGCCTCCTGCAAGTCGACATCAGGGTCCAGCGGCTCTCCCACAAGACCCTTCCAGAATGAGCCCAGAAGGTCCAGGGGCAGCGGCACGTCAGCCCGGATGCCGATGCCTAGAAGCTGCCCAAAGAAGTGCAGCAGCTGCTCTTCGGCATAGCTGATGGGGCAGGGCGTCAGAATGTACTTCCCCTGGTATACACACAGGGGGAGCCAGTCAGCAATGCAGAATGCAGCACTACATGCTGGGATGGTGGGAGAAGCAAGGGAAGTACCTTGTTGCGGTTAGCAGCAGAGCTAGGGCAGGGCAGCAACAGGGACAGGGCCGAACTCTGGAGCTCCTTACACACCTGCCACAGGAAGTGGCGGAAAGAACCACCTGTGAAGAGGAAGGCAGAGCATCACCACCTGGCAGGGCAGGGAACTACGACAGGCAGTTCCATCATCTCAAACATGCAGCTATACACGTTTAGAAAGTCAGGTGATTACTGTGCCCGTCCAGTAAACCATATTACTTCTATAATTAGCAACACACTTTTCCTGCTTTCTTGCAACAATAAACCTGCCCCTTCCACCTCCCCTCTCTGTGGTTTTACCTCAGATGCCCAAGAGGGAATTTTTAACTCATTCTTTTTTCTCCTTTTTAAAAACTCTATCCTCATACACCATGCCCAATGAGCATCCATCCCTGTGTCACATGGCTCAGGTCATTGCCCTGATTGGACCGATTCTGACAAAGGAGCTTGAAAAAAGCATTTGACTAAAAATCAACACAAAGTTAAAAGCAAAAGCAAATTTTCTAAATTGGCGTAGCCAGTTTATTTATACCCTTGCCCTATAAGTTTTTTTCAGCTGTAGTCTTAGAGACGTACCACATTTGGCATTTTGGCCATTAAATGAAATTCTGAAAGCAATTAGAGGAGGCGGCCGTGAGCAGACGAGCTCCTACAGCAGAGCAGACGTGCTCCGGGTTTTGCCGGCAGGGAAACGTCATTTATAAGCACCCTCCACCCCCCCAGCCTTCCCCATAATAACCCCATCAATCAGCCAGCTTCCTATGGCGTGCACTCACTGGTGCCATGCACCTCCTCCCCGGTGAAGCGGATGTTGAAGGCGTAGGTGGGGTCGCCGCCGCTGGCCAGTTTGACGCAGAGCTGCGAGGAGGGCACGCAGGACAGCTGCCGGGCAGCCTGGCAGAAGTAGGTGTTCTCCGAGGAGCGGATCTCCCCTACACGCATGAGCGCGAACACACCGAAATGTCAACACAGGCAGATCTGGGGTTTATACCAGTTATTTGATGAGAGAAGACTGCAGGTTCAGTTAACAGTTTGTTCTCCTTTTCTCCTTCCCTCACCTCCCACGATCTCCAGCGGGTCCAGGGTGATCTCAGGTGCGGCATGATCAGCTGTGCGCTGCACGGTGGCATTCAGCACGCGGTTCATTACCGTCACTTTGGTGTCATAGAATATCAGTCCTGTTGATCAGTGAACAGGATTATGGGTAATGGTCTCTACGTGTTGCTTCACCATGGAGCAATAGCCTCTCAGTGTCACTGATCGGAGCCAGATAAGCAGACAGTGGGTCAGCTTGGATATATAGTATGACTGGGCAGGGGGCTGGAGAGAGGAATCACTATGATACCACTGACTGACGCTTTTATCCGACATACTTCTGTGGTTTTCAAACAGAAATTCAAGCATGGTTTCTACTGCTAAGTCAATATTTGCAAACAGTTAATTTAAAAAAAGGGAAAAAGAACAACCAACACAAGAAATATAAAAGGCAAGTGTGTAGGATGGGGTGAGGCGCGTGTGCACTCCTGGGTGGCCGCTCTCACCCTTGGCTTCGCACAGCAGGGCGGCGATGCTGTTCTGGTAGCTGGTGGTTGGTCGGAGCTCGATCAGCGGAAGGAAGAAGCTCTCCAGGGTGGTGTTGAGGGACTGGAGCAGGGCAAAGCGCAGCCGGAGACTCTCACTGGCAACGCCTGAAACGGGGGAACAAGGATCTGCATTGCAAGGGCCCTGCGCTGCTGTACCAATTAAAACAAAGAGTGTCAGGTGCGTGGGTGTGTGTGTGCTTGGGGGGGCGCACGCTAACCGAGCAAGCAGGCCACGCGTGGATCGGCTGCGTCTGCCGGGTCCAGGTAGACCTCGTGCGGGTGCAGCCGGCTGGGTGTGATGGCCAGGTGGCGACACAGCCGGTTGACGTGCTGCACCAAGGCCACATCCATCTCCAGGGTCCACTTCTTGGAAGCCTTCTGGGCGTGGCGAGCATCGATGCAGGTGCACCTGGGGGGCGAGGGGGGGGGGGTCACACATCACCACACAGGTTCATGTATGCTGTTATGCAATGTGAAGTAAACCCCCCGAACACAGTGAAACCTCACAGAAGCACCCTGGCACGCAGTGAACTAAACACTAGTGAACGAACACAGACAGCATCTCCTTCGCTCACAGAGCCGACCTCTCAAAGTGCAGGTCGTAGCCACAGGCCAGGATGGCCCTCCAAACACTGCGGATGTCCTGCTTTGCACGGTCCACTGTGAACCTGTGGAAGCCCTCCAGGGTCAGGTATTTTTCCTCGGGGACTGGGGAGAGACAGCAGGAAACTGGGAAGGGTGTTTATATTGGACACAGCAGACATGGCCGCGTCTTACAGTCAGCTAGACCTTTTGCCGAATTAACCATGCTAAAGGAATTAGTGAGTAACACACAACCATAAGTAAGACCTTTACAATAAGGACTGGCCCAGCTGGAGCTCTCCACCCCGCTAGGACCACAAGTACCTTCCTGCTTCTTGGCGGGAGATTTCTCCATGTCCTTCTCGTCAGGCCTAGACTTTTCTGGAGACTTGGGCTTCAGGACTGGCTTCTTCTCACTTAGCGCGGTCCTAAGGGGTGTGGGGGAGAGGACACGCTTTAGCTTCCTCACCAGGCAAACTCAGGCCTGATGCTGCTGGTGAGCTACATGAGAGCTTAAAAAAGCCGCGGAGCTGAGAAACGGGACCGTTAAAGCTCTCCTGAGTGTGGGCAGGAGGTCAAACTGCCATTCCAGAAGCTTAAGAACAACCTTGAGAAGAGATGGGGAGTATTTTTAATGCACCACATGTATTTGCCTACACAAGACACACAGATATGAATTACGAAACAAATTCTCAGCTCATCTCCATCTGTACAGAAACAGGCTAAAAGCCGCTGGGATTAACCACCATTCTGTGCCACTTCAGCTCAGCATTACCTGTTTTAATACGTCTTCTAGGTCAATGTGAGAGGACACTGGACAGGGAGGCCTGAGCGTTACACAGACCGGGGTGACATGGTGACACTGCATGACATGATGAAATACACGACAAGCGGCAGGACAACCTGGGGAAGGGCAAGAGGCACCAAACGGGGGCAGCATGATAGAGAACACGGGAGGCCGGGTCCCTAAGGGCAGCGTGGGGGGGGGGAGATGGCGCTCACCTGACGCTGTTCAGCACAGACTTCTCTTTGGTGGGCGGCTTGGTGACTGGTCGCTTGGTGCTCACTACCTTGCCCTGGTGCTGCTCTTTGCCTGCTTTGCTGTACTTGCTCTTGCTGGGCTTGGGAACGCCATATTTTCGGAGAATCTGTAAGCACACAATGATGTAACGACAGGGAAGGGTAATAACTGCCACTCTGGACGAAATGACCAGGCAGGACAATATGTTTGCATGGATCTGGGACACCGAAAGCCTGGAGGCTGACAGCTGACAGGTGAAAGATGCAGGACTACCTGAGTGAGCTGGTCCTCCAACACCTTGTTGGGGGGCCTCACATTGGTGAAGAAGACGTGCAGCAGGTTCCCAGGAGTCTGTGCGTTTATCTGCTCCTTGCTCAGGTAGATGTCGGACACCTTGACGGGCTTGGTGGGGGTCAGGCTCAGCAGCTGCTCTGAGAGGACGCAGCTCTTGAAGATCTCCGTCAGCACGTCGCGGGCGCCCGGCACCAACTTGTCACCTGACCAAATCACAAAGCCGGCTGCTGGTCAACGACCATATTCTACATGTAAGGATCCATAAGATAACATAGAAGAACGAGGATGGGTCTCACTATCTGGCTGTCTCTCTGTCTGTTAGGCAGGCAGCCTGACAGACAGACAGAAAAGCAGGCCCCCAGGCAGGCCAGCAGACAGACAGACAGGCCATCAGGCAGGCCAGCAGACAGATAGACAGGCAGGCAGGCCAGCAGACAGACAGGCAGGCAGGCCATCAGGCCAGCAGACAGACAGGCAGACAGGCCATCATGCAGGCCAGCAGACAGACCTCTGAGGGATTTGTCCATGAAATAGTCCTCAAGGGCAGAGCTTCCCTGCGTGTCAAACAGGCTCTGGTTCACACTGGAGGCAGTGAGGATCTCCTCATTCGTCATCTCCATCAGCTCATCCTCCCCTTCCAGGCTGGATAGGCCAATCAGGTCGCTGCTGTTGAAGAGGCTGGCACGGATCTTCTCCACTTTGGCCCGTGCACGTACCTGTTAGAGGGAAGACCTCACAGGCGTGACACATGCTCCAGCACATCCCACCTCAGTAAGATATAAAGCACTTCTGCATATGTATCATGTAGCTGGGGACGCACTTGGGTATACATTTGTAACAATTTTTAACATGATGACATTAAATGCTGCAGGATTTGGGTATATGACCCTTGATTCAGATAAACATACAAAAAACCAACAGTCCCTACTGCTATTATACTGACACAACAACGCATCGTGATGCATTGTGGGGGAAGGCTGTCTGTTATCCTGCACTACAGTGATGTCATCCTGTCATACTATTCTCTCTGGTTCTTTGGAAATAACTTCCTACATCTAAGCATGTTTGCAGAGGATTATGGGCAATTCTAAAGTAAACAGGATAACTACCATCAATGTATGAGCGTTAGCGATCAGGCAAGGGGGAGGCGAGGCCCACCTCGATGACAGCATAGCCTTTAATGGGCCGGCTCATCACAGCATTGTTGTCCAGGGAGGTAACGGTGTACATGGAGCCGCCGTCGGACACCGAGGCACTGTCGCCACTGTCCAGCTGCTCCCCCAGGCTGCCCAGGCTGCCCAGGCTGCCGGTGCTGCACAGCGAGATGTCCAGGCTCTCCTGGCTGGACACCGTGTGCGGCTCCAGAAGCCCCTGCTGCGGCAGAGGTCCGGAGGCAGCGACGGTGGCGGTAGCGGCGGTCGGGGCGGCCAGCAGCTCCTGGTCCACGGAGAGCTCGCTGACGGTGCGTGACACGCCCTGAGACGAGCTGCAGATGGAGGTCTGGCTGGTGGAGGCGGAGGCGGTGACGCTCATGGCGGGGGTCACGCTGCTGGAGCTGTCGGGGCTTTCGTTCCCCCCCAGGGAGGGTGGCCGCTCGGGCCCGGGCGTGGCGGCGGTGGCGGCCTTGGCCTCCTGAGCAGCCGGCTTGGGCCGCTTGGGATCCTCCTCCTGCAGTGGGATGAAGATCTCATCCTTGAAAAGGCCGCCGTGAGCATTGCAAGCGCGACGGATGGCGGCGCGGACGGTGGCTTCCTCCAGGTGGGTGGGGATGCCGGACAGGACCAGCAGGCGGCTGTGGGCAGTGGGGCCGACCAGAGCCTGGCAGGCGTCTGCAATGGCGTCGCTGGTGACGCCCAGTCCCTGCGGGTCCTTCTTGGCCAGGTGCCGCAAGATCATGAGCAGGGTGAGGCCGCGGTGAAACCAGAGCATGTCCTCTGGTTTTCCAGCGGTCATGCTGAGCAGGGTGCCGTCGCTGTCTGAGAGCCGGGCGCCAGCCCCCACCGAGCCGGACGCCCCCCCTCGTTTGCCGGAGGCCACGGCCGCTGCCGCCACGGCTGCCGCTGCCGCCCGATCTCGCTTCATCTTGACCTTCTTGCGCTTGGACAGCAGGCTGGGGCTCTGTGGCGTCTGCCCCGGTGAAGAGGAGGAGGACGAGGAAGAGTCGCTGAGGCTGGGCGCAGCACCGGAGGACAGGGCACCCATGGCGGTGCCGCCCACGTTCAGTGGGAGGGTCACCTCGGCCACCGCCAGGCACACCTCCGTCAGCGCGTGGAAGTAGGTGGAGAAGCGGCCTTGCTCGGCCCCCAGGCCGAGGGCCCCGCCGGCTGAGACCCCCGACCCCGATGCCGCCCAGCCCTGCGTCTCGCGGTCGTATAGCTTGCGCAGCTCCGTCTGCAGTGCCATGAGCACGGCCAGGCAGGGGTTGAGTAGCAGCGCGATGGAGCTGGAGATGCCAGTGGAGGTGCGCCTCTGCTCCAGCAGGTGGATCTTTCGGAGGAGCTCAGCCAGAAGGTGGAAGGCCAGCTCCTTGATGCAGGGTGCCAGGTCGGTGGTCCACAGCAAGCCGCCTGCCAGGGGGGGGGGGGGCACGGGGGGAAAGCAGCTGAATACCAATTTATATTTAATCAATCTAAGTGCCAATGGGAAGCCGGTATTGTGGGGATAAAGGAACCAGACTTGCATAATGGGGTCAGAAAGGCTACTTCACCAGAATTATACTGACCTGCAAACATGCAGGTAAGGTGCATAACTGTATACCGTCACTTGAGACACTTACATTTCTTATTCTGCCTCTTCTGTGCCATATAGCGAAAACTGTCACATTACACTGTCAAAGCTTTGCGCCAGAGTAACTCGCAGTAATGAATATAATTATGGCCTGGAAATCTCAATGTGTCTCATGGGCAGTGGAGAGGTGATACAATGGCGCTATAATCTGATCAGGGCAAAGGCAGTGGAATCATTACCAGGCTTTTCCAGCTGTGAAAAATCCCCTCTACTGAGCATGACCCACAAAAGCTGTCTGGTATTTATCTTCTGCAACATTACGGGTTCATGGGGCTCTAACCCACCCAACAGCTCCACCACTTGCAGCAGCACGGAGGCGGGCACAGTGTCCGGCTCATCCTCCGCCCGCTCGCCCCCCTCGCCCAGCGTCCACGTCAGCAGCTGCTCGGCAAAGGCCAGGGCCAGCGGGAACTCCAGCGGCAGGGAGTGCAGAGCCAGCACAGCTCCAGGAGGGGGTGACACGCCTAGGGGACAGTGACACCACACAGTGCTGTTGACTATTTATCTGACAGCTGAAATCGTATGCCACCCTGGTCAACAACTCCAGTATCGAGTCAGACTCCTAAATTAGCTTAAATATAAGACCTATCTGTCCAATAAAAATACTATCTAGGCAAACACATATTGGCAAAACTACAGCAACCACAGGACCAGGACTGGTTTAGTCGGGTGTTCAGCAAGGACAAAGGCACTGACCAATCAGAGCAGCTCTTCATTGGGACACACAAGACAAGGCAGCCTGCTCAGCAAACTCACCCAGCTTGATGTGCACCTTGTCTGTGGGGATGATGATGGAGGGATACTGGTTGGTGGTGGGCGGGGGGGTGAGGCCCGTGTTAGAGGGTGAGGCATCCAGCGGGTAGCACACGGCCTCCGTCAGGCTCAGCTGCCCATTGCGTCGCACCTTGTGCCCCAGGCCATACACCATGACTCGAGCCCAGGGGGCCTTGTAAAGGGAGGAGCTGGGGAGACATGTGGCATGTTGATGTCAGCACACTAACACATGGCGATTGGCCAAGGCAAAACACCAATCAGGGGACACCACAGAACTCGGAATCTCACCGACTGCCGGCAATCAAATCCCTCATTACAGGTCAGGACAAGCACAGCGTTTTAAAATTGCAATTCATGAGGTCGTACGGTCCAGACAAAGCCAACACCATGGCAACATTAAATGACAATTCTGACCTAATCCTTCGCATAGGTGATTACAGGGATAATGACCGAAAAGATTAATATTTCTGAAGATTTCCCCTCCAATACATTGAGACTCATACACTGAGATCAAGATTAACAGATAAAAAACCCTGGAAAATACAAGTTCATATACGGAGAAGGGAATAAAGGAGGAGAGGGAGGGAGGGAGTGAGCAAACGCACTCTTTGCGGCATCCCAGCTGGCTCTCCTTGCAGGACACGACGACGAAGGCTGCACCAGGGAAGTTCACGTCCATGCTGACCTTGGACTCCGAAACGGGAAACTCCTCCGACGTAAACTGCTCTGGTGCGTTCTTCAAAACAAACAGAAATTAGAAACATTTAACCTGTTAACCCCGACAATGTTAAACACGGTTATGCAAAAAAAAGAGGAAACTTCAGAGTTTAGATGTTGAAAGATGTCAGAATCAGGAAAAGCATGGGAATATGCTTTTATTCCAAGAGAATGTGAACAAGAGATCCCTCTCACATGCAGCTGATAGAATTTACATGATTTACCACTGCAGGGCAAGCAGGACTATGAGCTGTTCGAATCGACAGAACGCCACATGCTTGGGCAGCTGACTGTGGCTACACTGGACTTCCAGTGACACCGGTGTGGGATCACCACCATGTTCCATTGAGGGTAAGGCGCTCTCACCTGCAGGAAGCTGCAGATCTGCTTGGTGAGCTCCAACAGGCTCTCCTCGCCCTGGTGCAGGGCGCGTGTGATGGCCACCGTCAGCCACTCCCGGATGGGCCGCGCATTGCCCTGGTAGAAGAGGTCTGTGGGTGAGCAGCTCTGGCCCTGCAGGTTGTGCAGCAGCGACTGGGCCAGCAGGATGGAGGTGGAGCTAATGGTGCCATCTGCAGAGCAAAGAGGGGAACTGCACTCAGCTAAGGTTGACAGTAAATGATACTGAAAGCATGACGTTAAATGGTCTCCCCCATGAAAGCTTCTCTTCTGTAAAATGATACTACAGGAGAGAAATTTAATCCGAAAAAAATCATGACAGACTGCTGATGACACTTGATAATTGATTTTAAGAGGATTTTAAATGGCTGATGGCCTTAATTCAGTCTTTCGCTGCAGAGGTTGCTTCAGACTTTCTCGCTGTCCATCATTTTGAGGAACAGGGTTGTAAAAATTCCATCTATCATTACCTGTCATTTTTATTTTCATTTGTAATAAGACATTTAATAGCATTTTCAAACACTAATTCTAAGTTTTTCATAAACAGTACACAGAACGCGGTTATAGATTATGCATTTATAAGGGCATGGAGAGAACAGACAAAGAGAGACACCGACCGTGGAATCGCATTTCCAGTGAACACCATGCCCATCATGAAGCAGATGATTTTTTTCCCCTGCAGTGACAATGGAACACAGCTTGCACTGTCACACTGGCTGCCACTGGCCGTTATCAGTATCGGTGCCGTCCCACCAAGGTTGAGAAACCTGGTTCTGAGATCCTGGGACGCCGTGGGTAGCCCATGGCCGTCCCACCACACTACAAGAACTGTGACCTTTATGCTAAATGAGCACAGGACACACAAAAAGCTGCCCTTTACATGTAACGTCATACGAAACTAGACTGCCTCCCCAAAACAATGGAGGATGAACAAGTTTACTTGTTAGTTTTTGGGGGAATCGATTGTGATCAAAATCCTACCTTTTCCACAGAATAAAAAAATGATGTAACATGTAATAAGTGCTGGCAAAGGTCACGGCCTCCACCATAAACAAAAGTATATCGGTCATCAAATTCCCGAATTTTCTGAGGCAGAAGTATGGAGACACAAGCAAAAAGGTATATTCATTAATGCCAGAAATCCATCCATCCGTCCGCCACTAATCGTGGGAGCAGCCGTCTAAGCAGGGATGCCCAGACCTCCCTCTCCCCTGCTACCTCCTCCAGCTCCTCCAGGAGGACACTCTGGGAGGTGTCCAGGAGGCATCCTTCATAGATACCTGAACCCCAGCAACAGGTTCCTTTCCATGCGCCGGAGCAGCGGCTCTACTTTGAGCCCCCCCCCCCCCCCCCCCCC